GTTTAGTGATAGTTATGTCAATATTGTCATGAGTCTTTCAAAAAGATCAAATTTCACTGACACGAAGGATTGCTAATTTTTTATACTTATTAAAGAGCTCCCTAGCGGATGTTTACCAAATTGAACTCTAACTGGAAGTCGTATATGATTTCCGCTACAAATATTGCAAGTGCAGTGCTGAGTGACAATCAGTTCATTGTATGATAAATACAAAACCCAAAATTAGGCCTACCCCGGGCCAGAAAGTCGCCTTAAGTCGYCGCAACTTAAAAAAAGTAAATTGGGCGGGGCACTGTGGCAGCTTAAGGCGTCTTAAGAMWACTTTCTGGCCTGGAGTAAGCCGAAGACTCTTTCGCTGTGAAGTAAGTGCTTGGTTGGTTCAGAAGAACAAAAYGTRCATCCAATTAACAAGTCAGTCTAGACTCGGCTAAAGCTGTCGAGAGACTGRTACTGTTGAGAAGTAGCTGGAATRTCYTGGTAGATACCACTGGTCGTGATGYCTGCAGGCTTARGAGGTAGCTTAGTACTTGGACTAAGTGWRCTGTAAGTATCTGTGTGTRKGCTGACCGACTGGTACATGGTCGTGTTAGCAGATTCYTGTTCTCTACCGTTGCCAACAGGCTCGTACTGCACCACATTCTGTCCATCAGTRCTGGTTGGTTGTTCTTGAAGCGCAAACGTATTCTGAAGAATTATTAGTTTGCATAAATTTTAGTATACTAATGGTATGAATATAATCAACATTTCCGTTTCAACAGCATATTTCACGACCAGCTCTAGCTACGACAGATTTTGCATGCAGATGTAATGGCTTCCTTCATATTTAGGCTCCATGATGCCCTTACTTAACTTTGAAAGCAAATATTAGTTAGGGATAAACTATTTTTAGCAATTAAAAGAATATAGAGAGTATATATACTGTCATAAATACTGAATGTTATGACGACGCCCGCGACTATGCTTTTAAATGTTTAAAGGCTTCTATCCGATTGATTACGAAACAAATTAAAAGACTGAAATGATTACTAATTAGTAGGCATATCTGGAATTCGTGATTAGAAACGTTCTTAAAAAGCAAAATGTTGTTCWAGAACTCATAAATAATTCATGAGCWATTAGCCAAATGAGCATCGAACTATTGGGTCACATGAYGGGMCTTTATATCTCGATATAGCACTGATGTTTTATTAATCAGTTCTTTATTAGATATGATGGGAACTAGCGGYAAACTATAAGTGTGAAGTGCGTCGKTGTTTCGAAAGAAACAGTTGTGTAAAAAGATTAAAAAAATTAAACACCCTAAAAAAGTAGGTGAAGTAACTTACTGACGGTTCAGACGTTAATCCTTCGTCGGAGTAAAAGAGATGTCTTTTACTCCGACGAAGGATTAACGTCCGAAACGTCAGTAAATGCTTTGTGCTTATGCCTATGCTTATGCGCTAGTGAAATCCACGCTTTCAAAGTTACTTCATCTACTTTTTTACGGTGTTTAATTCATCTTTTTACACACCTTTATCAGATATATTATAGAAAATATGTTTTATTAATTAATCAGCTAGTTTTAAAATCAGTTTGAATCAATGTGTGCAGATACATGCACTTTAGCATAGACTAGCAATTCTTCCGTGCTGGATCAAAATTCCTTTAATTTTGGCACAATGCACATGTTCATTATTTATATAGTTTATGCATTATCACTGCTTTCGAAATTTTTAGCTATTTTCTAAAATGATAACAATTTCGATGAATGCTGAATTTCTGAATGTTGTTATATATCCCGATACAACACGTACTCTCGTTATATAAACAACACCGTGAAATAATTAACAGGAGAGGGAGGGGCTATAAAACCAGAGAGAGGTCGGGGATGGGGGCAATTACATAAAATGGTTGCCCAGCGTTAGCATAATATGCGAAATACTTTATCAACAAATTTTTTATCTGCTAGCTAAAGCTTGTTTACGTGATCTTTTTATGGAAAAATCCATGATACGAAACATACGAATGAAAATCTAAATGCAAAGACTCAGTGGTGTCGGTTTGAACTTATTAAGATACATGAATTTTAATTGAAACTATAGATTTTTTTAATTTTGTCACATAAATTGAAGATCTAGAAGCTGAAAAACATTTTGAAAAGATCACCTAAACAAGCTTGTGAACAGAAGTAAATTTTCTTCATCAATGCAATTCTTCATAGATCTATTATCTTATGTTTTGGATTAGGGTACTGCCTAATTTTTTCCTTGAGAAATCTTTTACAGCACCCTCCTCCTGTCAGTTATTGCACAGTTCCAAATCAGACGTCATATGATATCATCAAAATGAAATATGACGTCATAAAAAGAATAAGCAAGGCTCTTACCATGTATCCAACTTCGTTAATGTTCTCACTAAACCAAACCAGAAAAAATATATGTGATGTATAACGCACTCAGTAACACATGGAATTAGTGTACCTTTTTGGTGTTTTAAAACTCTCATGAAAAATAAAATTAAAGCCCTACTAACTAGGATATAATCACGTCAACAGCCCTTAATTGGCAGATTTAGAATCATTAAATATACTACCTTTTCTTTGCGTGTCTGCTATTCTCTGTTGAAGTAAAAAGCATCAGAATCAGTGATATTTCTTCTTTCCGCCATTAAGTTAATGAGTCACTCAAAAGCGTTTATTTCATCAAATTATGTGTTTTACCTGTCAAATGCCTCCAAATAAAATAACCAACGAAGATGACATTGAAAATCAGTGACACACCAAATAGCACACCAAGGACTATAACAGACACCTGACTGCCCTGGCAGCCCTGACAGCCCTGACAGCCCTGACGGCCCTGACAACTTTCTGATGCAGAAAATAACGTCAATAAATAAAGCTTCTGTGGTCAAATAAAGATAAGCATGAATCAAAAAATGTTCAAACCTGTACTTGCTGTTGTTTCTATTGCTGTTTCTACAGTTGTCGAAATAGTAGTCGTAGGTAAGATATAGGTCCCTGTGGAAACATTTAAGGTATCTGGGAACAGTTGTTTTTAGTTGTTTTTAAAACTTTGTAAACTTTGTTTTTAGTTGTTTTTAAAAC